TGCCCCCCCCCCCCCCCCCCCCAAGCACATGCTACTTTGTCCTGACGCGAGCAAAACTTGTCGGTTGCGTAATAAGCAAAGTTCAAGCCGGAAAGCGCTCTTGAACCGAAAACAACTTACCGTAAATATCACGACAGCTCCCTTGCTTCCTGTCCCCATGTTTACATTGACGATTACCGATTGGAGTTACAAACCAGAAGATGACCTATGTGTTAGGCTTGCCGAATATGCAAAAACAACTGCTTGGAGTACTATGACAATGTAGGACTTTGTGTAGTTACAGATTAAGCCAGAAGACAGTGGAGGGGTTTTACATCACTGAGTAGAGAGTAGTAGATTAAACTGCCATTGGGGGGGGGGGATTTCTATTTGAGTGCTGAATTTTCGAATAGCCATACCTGGAAATGCATTTTTACACTAATAACTAACTAATCAAACCAATTATCCCACGTCTTGAGGTGATTGACTGACAGCAGCACCGACTACAACAACCTCTGCTTCATAGGAAACTACTTTCAACTTCTAAGGAGAAGTAAGGAAACTGAACTAAATAAATAATGAGTTTTTGAATCAAAATCACCCGAACTCGTCATGGCAACCAACAAAGAAATGAATTACTGAAACTGGAAATTTAGAAACCTCTTCTCCTAGCATCATTGGAATGTAAGTGAACGGTGTGCTTAGAATGGAATTGGACAGTTCACGAATGTAAGCAACAAAACGCAAAAAAATTATCCACTACGGGTGTGACTTCACTTATGCTTAAGGAAAGTGGATGGCTGCAAAAGCACTTGAAATTTGCCACATGAATGAAGAAAATTGACAACTCTGAAAACCTCGTATTCCTGCTAGATCAGATAGAGTATGGCGTTCCCAATAACTTGACGCACTTTTATCCTCTCTTTTGAAGATTAGATCACAATTTTTCCAGTGCATTCGGATGTTTGTCGTGATTACAAGGTGCTTGGTAATGGTTAATAACACAGTTTACTGAAAACTGTGAAGATTGAAAATGAATTGAAGGTCAAAACGATCCATTTTAAGTCTTTGAAATAATTAGATCAACCTACTCCCCCCACCCCACCCCCCTTCTTCTCCCTATCATCCCAGATATCCTAAAAGAGGTGATTAAATTAAAAGCAAATGTAATTGGTCCTAGATCAGATTTCATGGAAGACCAAATAAAAAAGGGTGATTAAGTGGGGTACTAAATCGTGCAACGAAAGAGATGCGGGCCACTTTTAAAAAATCACTTACCAGGATCCATTCCATAGTAGTCCAGCTCGCCCTCATCAGCACTTCCAACATCTTGGTACATATCTTCAAGAGACTGATTCAAACCAGGAATTGGTGGTTCGCTCCTACGAAGTGTAGAAAAGAAATGTATTAAAGTAATCATTGCGTAAGAGTCAATTTTAGGTTTCTCTCAAATCGATGCTGTGGTGGATTGTCAATTAGGCTCAAAAAATTTCGAAAAAAAGGAATACAGAGAGAGACATTGTGGAGGGAATAATCAACAACTAAATTCAAAGCGAAATCCCCCACTTACAAACGCCAAATTTCGCCAGACTTTAAGGAGAGCTGCTCATGCAATAATTTGGGCTGAAAATTCATCGAATATTTTAAGAAATGACATTACTGGACTAAATTACGCATGAAAGTATGAATACGACAGCGACAGAGGCCTCTGTTTACATCCCTGGAAGCAAACGACCCATTTGTCTAGGCGACTGAGTTCAAGGACGATTGTGATTCACACACACACACGATTAAACTAATGACGATATCAACGCAAACATCGAAATAATTTCATTTTATTTTTCTATTTTTACGGACATTTGGGACGAAAAAAACAGTGCATCAGAACATCAACAATAGTAAACCCGCTAACATTAATCATGCCCACTCTGGTGAAGAATTTGGCTTTGTAACTATTGCTAACGCATGCATCGTAATGGGTGAAAAAAAAGTTAGGAAAAATGGCTGGAAGGATTTTGAAGAAATAAAAGACTAATTACCTTCATGGAGAATTCAGGCTTTATAAAACACGTTGAGCTCTAATGTGATTCCTAATGTTTTTTATCAACGGGGAAGATACTGCAATGGTAGCAGCATTAATTAACAAATGACTAACAGATGTGATAGGCTGGTGAAGATCACCTTCTGCAATTTATATCTCATAGTCCATAAACCCCTTTTTCCGCCTAGAATAAATCCCGAAGTGAATTCTGACGATTGAAAGCGAATTTATCGATAATTAGGATATAACATGGAGGGCAACCAGAGTAAAGAAGCCCTATGATAAATCAAAAATTTTGTTTGAATGCATTTTTCAGCAAATTAAATTAGCGATTGAATCATTGATTTATCAGAACTTAAGCGCGCAAGAGATTTACGAACAACTCTGCTTAGATTTTCTTTTCTTTTAAAGTAAAATTTCCTCCGCTTTTACTACTCCAAAATTAAAGCGAAATAATGGCATTTTAGGCTTGAAAAATCAATGCAATATGTGAGTAACCTACGTTCGTTCATAAACCAGAAAAGCATCTCGATCGCGGAATTCTTTCTCCGGATCATTGCCACGCAATCTTTCCTCGCGTTCAACTGCAAAAGCATAAACAAACATTTTGGGAGGCATGAATTGTGCAAGATGTCTCAATACACATTAAAATTTCCCAAATTATTTTAGGGGGGGGGGGAGGGTGCGATAGACTTACCTCCACGTGGTGCACCTTGGGCAACCTAAACTCTTACAGGCAAAATGCCTACAAACCGTCCGTCACTTCAAACTACCATGACACCACTTCTACAGTACTTACTTCACCTTTTTCTCTGCCTTTGTGTCTGTCTGTCTCTTTTACATCTATAAGTCACTCTTCTGATCGTCCTCTCCACTTTTTGTGATTTTGTCTGTTCCTTCCCTCTGTGATGCTCGAAGTCAACTAAAGGGCTAATGATAACTTCCATAAAGCCTGCCATCTGATATAAGTAAATATTACTTTGAGATGGGGAGGGGGTGGGTGGGTAAGGAAAAGAGGTTATTTCAACTAATAAAGAAGTGCACTTACGAAGATAAGTTTTGCCCTTGTTCCGCATCACAATTGAGACGGCAAGAATTGCCACAATGAGGAGAATTAGCACGGCGATAACGACGGCAACGATCCATGAAATGCTTGCTGGAAAGAAATCAAGCGGAAAGGGGGGGGGTTAGAGATTTCACTGTACGTGTTGAAAATGTCCTCAAGATTAAAATAATGTGTTTAGTTGTAATTCCATTTCGCTCATGCCTATAAATAGCCCTGTGATATAGCCCCCCTCCTCCCTCCCCCTAACCCTAACTTTAAAACCTGGCAAATTAGAGTGAATTCGGAATGGCGTTTGAAATTGTGTCCTTGATATGGCATTTCGACCAAGCTGATTAAAAACTTACTCCCACTCTAAGCGTGGCATCATGGTAAAAGAAATTAATACCAAGGCGTTAAGCACAAATGGTTATAAGTGAGACTAAATGAGTGGCAAGAAAAATAATGGCAATCCCTCCAATCTACCTCTACCATATCAAAAAGATCCAAGTCCAGAAAATCCCACAAACCTATGATGTAGACAATTTCACAATTATGGAAGCAAACGTTTCGGATGACAAACTGAAGTACTACCAATTCCCAGATTACACCCTGTACAATCTACCTAAATACCGGCAAGTTGCAAGTGGAATTCTAACTGGAGTAAAAGAAGGCCTCACCTCACACTACGATATAATCAAGAGTATGGGCTCGATACATATGTGAAATAATCAGATTAAATGTTTGGAAATGTCAAAACCACTTCAAGATATATGCAGTCTATAATCCACCCCAGAATTGTCCCAACTTTGACATTCTGAACATCTCACACAAAACTGTAGTATTAGGACACTTCAACGCCCATTCCACCAGATGAGGCTGCAAGGATACAAACATAGCTGGAAAGGAAATTGAAGACATGCTAAACAGCAACCCTCTGAAACTTATTTACAGCAATGAGGATCCGGCTACATATTTGCACTACAATGGAACCAGAACAACTCCTGACTTACTCCTGGTTTCAAGCGACATCAGTGAGCATACACGCCGCAAAATAATAGACGATCCTGGTTCTGGTCACAAACCAGTCATTGCTAGTATTACCATCGGCAGCAAAAGCATGACAAGGAAAGTACCAACTAAGCT